TGACCAGGCAGGAGGTTTTAAGAGATCATTTAACAAAGTATCTTTTCTGCCCTTTAACCCTAAAACTAGAAATTCTGAGATCCTGTTAAAAGGTTTTATGGAGAGCAGCATGAATGTCAAACGTATCTGCACACAGAGCACTGGGGCTAATTCTGTCTCTTTAATCCCCAAATTCATGTCAAAAATCATTTGCTTAAGGATAGGTATTTAGTGATTGATTTTATACCTAATACAGGCACTTCCCAATTGACAGTTGAATTCCAAAATTAATTTGTTGCCCTCTCTCTTATTTTTTTTCCTGTACCTACTCACTACAAATATTTGAGGCAGCTAAGTTTATTTGTAAATCACTTGTATGGAATTTGGAAAATGTTTTCTTATAGAAATAGCTGTGTGTGTGTTGAGTAGTTTGGGTTCAGTTGAATAACCATTTGATGAACAATCACAATGTGTGAATCTCATTTGACAATGAGGTTCACACAGCAGTGAATGGATGCATAAGGTATAGTAGGAGCTTACAGCAAGGCTAGTGTATTATAGGATTTTGCTCAATGGACCTGGGAACCCAACTGCCCTGCCCAACCCAGGTAGAGCTGCCTCCACCCCAGCGCTACTTTCTCCTCCTCTAAAAGGCTGGCTTTGGCCAAGCTTAAGGGATAATCAGAAGGTGGGACCTGCCCTAGCTGGTTTGGCTCAACGGATAGAGCACTGGACTGTGGACCGAAGGATCCTGGAATCGATTCTAGTCGAGAGCACGTACCTCGGTTGCAGGCTCCTCCCTGGCCGGGCCCTGGTTGAGGGCTCGTGCTGGAGGCAACCAATCAATGTGTCTCTCTCACATCGATGTTTCTCTCTGTCTTTTCCTCTCTCTTCCACTCTCCCTAAAAATCAATGGAAAAATATCCTCAGGTGAGGATTAACCAAAAAAAGAAGGAGGAAGAGGAAGAGGAGGAGGAGGAGGAAGAGGAGGAGGAGGAGGAGGAGGAGGAGGAGGAGGAGGAGGAGAGGAGGTTGGACACTGACAACCCCCAGGGATTGGACCTTGAAACGCACTCAAGGAATCTCTGTGTGCCCTCTCTACAAGAGTCTTTTCCTTCTGCCATGGATGTGCGAGGAGCCCAAGCCCTTTCCTGCTCTGCCTGGGGGCTGAGGGCAATGCAAACCAGCCACAGTGCCTTTTAATGACTACTCTTTTTGTCCATAGCTCCAATTAAGTTATTTAATTAAAAGCCTCCTTCTATTAGAAGGTGTGGGGGTGGCGAGAGTCATTGCCAACCTCCCACTACACAGGAATTCTGCTGGGTACAATTAGAAGAGAAAATTGTTTCTCCTTGATTAAGAAGTTCTGCGGCACCTGCAGGCAGCGTTGGGGCAGAGGTGGAACTGTGGCGGGGCTCAGAGAACGCTTATCACTTTACAAGGCTCTGGATGGGCTGTATTCTGGGCCTCCTCAGCCTGGGAGCTCATTTGTCTTCTGAAAGTTTATAAATTGGATGCTATGACTTTTAAGAATTACAGCAGGAGTCCTGCCAATGGGGTAAGATGGATGACACAATATAAAGGAGTTTAGCTGGTTCTTAAAGTGGAAACTAAAGATCAGATCTGATCTAAAAAGATCAGAGTGAGAAGTGGACTCTCCCAGTGGGACACGCAATGGAAAGGGATCAAGAAAATGGTAGGAGATGGGCCAACACCTGGTGAATTAGACAACTGGGGAAATAACGGAACCACTACAGAACACAGAGCAGGAGAGAAAATAGCCTGGCTCCTCTCAGGGGTTCCTTATGACTCGGTCACCATATCAGATTGTCGAAGGATTTGAATGTTGCCTGAAAAAAATTTTTTTTCAAGAATTACTATGAGATGAAAAGTAGCTACTTAAAGTGACATAGTAGGCTTGTTCAAACAATGTCCCAAAGAAAATTTGGTTCCAGAATCACAAGTAAAATTAGATTTGTATGTGTGCTGTGATGCAATTTTTAAAACATTTTAAGTTGGTGAAAATAATATTTCCAAAGCAATTGGCTTTGTCTTTTTTGTCATTATATTATACTTCCTGCTTCACCCTCTGCCTTTCCAGTGCAATTAAGACCTCACCAGAAGACAAATGGTTCACTTGCCGCTAATTAGTTAAAAAATATTTCTAGTTTATTGTTTATATAATCCAGATAAAACACAACACTAAAAAGAACAAGAAGTTTGGCACATGGACACAAACTTCCACCCCCAATATGTGACCCTGATATTTGTTAATAATATAGAACTTTCCCCCTGATATCCATGTACTGACCCTGGCATCATTTTGTCAGTGGCCTCTTTTGTCAGTTGCCATAATAGAAGCATCTGAGAAAGATCCAGATATCTTTTTTTTTTAAAAAAACACACATATTTGATGTTATGAACTTTAACATTTAAACAAAGTCTCATATTTTGAAAAGAATGTGTCATCTGCGGCCTCAAGAATCTTAAGATCTCAAGTGACATTCGGGTCCAAGTTGCATAAAAATCAGCCACTTGCTTTTCAGGTCTGTGCAGGGCCCCGCACAGCTCTCTAAAAGGCGGAATCTGCCAAAGTGTAGGTGAAATGCTGTGTGCCCCCTGGACGTGTGGGCTTCTGGAAGAAAACCGTGTCCTTTGTTCTCTGGGTTTCTGAATAATAGATGGTAGCCAGGAGGAAGACAAGGAGGAGGATGTTCTTTTAAAGAATCGTCCCTCCCACCCCCACAGCGCTGGGAACTGTGAAGAAGGACCACTGGAGAGAACACAGCTTTAGCTCCTCCTTGGAGCGAGACCTGGTTTGCAGGGGCCACATCTCTCTTTCCCTCTGCACATCATGGCTCAGGGAGTGGGCCCAATCTTTGCTCATTAACTATGGGATCAGCTGTCCCGGGTGCCGACAGCTTCCTTCTCCACCTTCCTGTCGCCTGTGGCACCTGGTACATGGCGTGAGTCTGTGCTTGAAATCTTGTGCAAACTTCCTCGTGCCTCTTCACTCTGACATCTGTTCTGTGGGGTGTCTGGGCCAGGCTGGCCCTCCTTCTCCCTGAAGAGCCCTGCAGACGTCAGCTTGGCTCTGTCTCATGACACCTGCCCTCAGCTCTGCCAGGAGGTGAAGGTGGGTCCGACGTTGCCCCATGAGCCTTCTCTGACTCTTTTGAACTTTTTATCAGGCCACGAGGAAGGCCCCGGAGGCTCAGACATGTGCCCCTTGCAGAGATCCAGTCACTTCCCACCATCTGTGCCCGTGTGGCCACTCAGACCAGAGCATCAGCTCAGAGAGAGCAAACCTCCTAAATCAGCAAGACATTTACTGGGGGAATGGCTCCCTTTTGTCAGCCGCTATAATAGAAGTGTCTGAGAAATATGCTCTTAACAGTTACGGGGAAAAGGAAGTAGTGATGCAGCCAGCTCCCAATTATCTGAGGGCCACTTCTCCAGTTTGCGAGCTTCCTTTCTTTATAGTCTCATTTCTCCTTTTGCTACTGTGTTCAGGGTGAACACTGCAAGGAAAGAATGTACGCATTTATCTGTTTTGCTCTTGTTAAAAACAAATAGTCTGATCAGAAGTCTGAAGGAATTGGGGCTGAAACCTGAAATTAGATTTGGGGATTACCTGTGGATTGCATTCCTTGCCATCATAACTAGAAACACTCCACAGTTGCTTGTCTGCTTCCCTATTCATGCGCAGGAAGATTTATCTTAAACAGAATGAAAGAGGATTTTGCTGTTAGTTTCTCTGCACAGGATTTTTCCTACAGACTGAAGAAACTCTGACCTTAGCAATCAGTGCATCCAGGCGGAAAGAACCGGGACAGGGAGACTGACGGGTTCATAGCTACTGTGTAGCGTCAGAAAATGAACTTCTCTGAGGCTCCTTTTTTCTCTCTGTCAGGGGCAGATAAGAGTAATTGTTAGAGCTGCTGACAGGCTCACAGTAGGAAATGGTTATGAATGACTAGCTTGAGGCCTGTCATGGCAGGCGCTTAGTCAGGCCAGGGCCCTCTGAGAGGAAGGAGGTGTGTTGCCCGCTCTGCCACTGGGTGCTTCGGGAAGTGCTGGCCTCTCAGTCCCTCTGAGCCCTCTCCTGTAACATAGGAGATGGTGGTAAAGATAATTAAGTTGTTCCCGCCAAGGTCAAATCCATAAACACACAATTCAGCCGAGGATGAGTGCCTTTTAAGCTAAAGCAATTTTGGTTTTTCTACCCTCTTAATTTTTCGGGAAAGTCTATGCTGGAGACACCTCAATTAGATAAAAAGAAGATTTTGCTTGTGAAGATTTACTGTCTTTTCTTGTATTTACTTACTCTTTGCACAGATATGTATGGGAGACACTGGGTGGGTCTTCAGCACTGGGCTGAGCTACAGGGCCCGGAACAGGAAGTGTGGGGGAAGTGCACAATAAGCCCAGCCCTTGGATGGGTGGCTCTGGATGAACAGTGGGTTAGAACCCAGGAAGAGTGATGAAGTAGCACCTTCCCCGTTTCACCAACAAGAAAATGAAATGACGATACTGACAGATAACCCACCCAAAATCTTAGAGAATGAACTAAGAGCAGGTCTAATGCAGGGTTTCCAAAACCCAAAAAGACCTTACGTGGGGGCCTGAAGTGCCTCCTTGAGTGGAACTGATTTGAGGGGAGGTCACATCCCAGGCCCTAAACAGAACAGACCTTTTCTGGCTCTATTTGGTCTGAACTGTAGTGCCTAGCCCAGCACTCACATAAAATAGTCACCTATTAAGTATTTATTGATTGATTGATTGCATTTGATTGATAATCTATGGACACACACACACACACACACACACACACATGCTCATGCCTTCTTTTTTTCTTGTTAGAAAAACCAAGAAATAAAACAGGTCATACACCTCTACTCACTTTTAGAATCACAAATAGTTCAGCCCAAGGAGAAGACTGAAAAAGAAAAAAACAAATCTAAAAAATGTCATGTGTCAGACATTTAACTTGCCCGGCTTGTGTCTCTGTGATTTCACAGCTCCCGAGGTCCTCGCCCAGAAACCTTACAGCAAAGCTGTTGACTGCTGGTCCATCGGAGTGATTGCCTATATCTTGTAAGTATTGCTTGCCACTTAGGCTTCTTTTTTCCCTTTTTTTTAATTGTGGCAAAATAGACATAAATAAAATTTACTATTTAACCACTTTAAGAATGCAGTTCAGCAGTATTAAGTATATTCATATTGTTGTACAATCATCACCACCATCCATCTCCAGAACTTCTTCATCTTCCCAAATTGAAACTCTATCCTCATGAAACAATAACTCCCTATCCTCCCCCCGCCCCCACACACACCCCTGGCAACCACCATTCTACTTTCTGCCTCAAGGAATCTGACTACTCTAGGTTCCTCATGTAAGTGGAATCACACAGTATTTGTCCTTTTGTGTCTGGCTTATTTCACTTAGAATAATGTCCTCAAGGTTTAGCCATGTTGTAGCTTATGTCAGAACTTTTTTTTTGAGGCTGAATAACATTCCATGTTGTGTATATACTACATTTCACTTATCCATTCATAACGTTGCTATACAGTAAACACAGGTGTACAGATATCTGTATTAGTACTGCTTTCAATGCTTTTGGGTTACTTGTATACCCAGAAGTGGAGGGTGGATCATATGGTAATTCTATGTTTAACTTTTTGAGGAAAAAGTTACTATTCCCCAAAGCAGCACAACCATGTTACATCCCCAACAGCAATGCACAAGTGTTCCAATTTCTCCACATCCTTGTCAGCACTTGTTTTCCACTTTCTGATAATAGCCATCATCATAGGTGCAAAGTAGCACCTCATGTGGCTTTGATTTGCATTTCTGTTACAGCCACTGATACTGGGCATCCTTTCATGTGCCAGCTTGGCTTTCTGGGGATGCACATCACTATGAAAATATTAGGGTGTCCCTAAACGAAATCACAATGAGAAAAAATGTGATGGAAACCAAAATGTTGCCTTTGGATTCCTCATTTCTTCTCAGCTCACTTATTGCCACTCTCCAAGAAATGCAGTCTGAGGTCATAGGCTCATTGCAGTTACTTCATGATGATCAATTTTGGTTTTTATTGTTATGTTTTATTGTGCTTAAGTCTACTATAAAGTTATTTTTAAGTTACAATTTCTTTTTCCAACACTTATTATTAAACATACTTTTATGATGGGTTTAGGTTAACTAGTTTCTGTAATTGATAGAAAATTAACTCTTTCTCCTCATTGTCCCCAAGAAAGGGAACATTTCCTAGCAGACAGAGCCCACTGCACAGTGAAAGACTGTGATCAGTAGAGGACTGTGATCAGAGAAAGGTCTGATAGTGAGTGGCATCCGCAAGGAATGCTGGGAACACACACATACACACACACACACACACACACACACACACACACGTGCCTCATTACCTGAGAAGAAAATGATCTTTCTATAGCATACATTCAGCTGGACAGCTTTTGTAGAGACTAAGATAAAAGAACAGGGGGTGGTGGAGGAACAGGTTTAGGGGGTAGGTGAGATTAAGCATTTCATTTGGGGCATGTTAAACTTGAGACACCGTTGAGATATCCGTGGACTAGTGTATGCACACGTGGAGGTCAGAGGTCTAGGGAAGAGATACTGGCGTATGGGTCTGGGTATGATTTGAACAGTTCTGCATCCAAATTCTTATAAGTATACGATAAATTATTTGACTGGATTCAAGTCTAGCATTAAGCAAAGAAAAACTGTATTTCATTATTTCTATTTTAAATATAAATGTGCCAGTTACTTGGTCATTACTAGCTTCGCTCCAGGGCTTCGTCTCAGGTTGATTTCATGACTGAGTCAGAATTGAAATGGCAGCCTGGGCTTCTGTTTGCCTTGCCGCCTTCCAGAGCCCTGAGCCTCTCAAGCAGAGAATAAATGGAGTTTGTATGCCTCAGCTGTACCTTCCAAGATGTTCAGATCCTTGAGTGATAGGCCATATCCTGGATATAATTGCTACATAATATGGCTAGGCTTGAAGAGCCACTAGTCTCGAATATATCATTATCAGTGTCAACAACTATCATGTCTTGAGTGCCTTTTCTGTTCCAGGCACTGTGCTAGGTGCTAAAGATAGCAAGATAACAAAGGCACGATGCCTCTCATCAAAGTACTAACAAGGTATATGGTGGGACAAGAAAGTCCATGAGCAGATTAAGTGACATGCAGGGAGGCCCGTGTACAGCTGTAGACGTTCCTGGGGTGAAGCACCATTGAGGACAGGGACATTCAGGAAGGAGGAGGCACCATCCCAGGTATGTGTAGAAGGCTGGAGAAAACCAGCATAAGCAAAGAGGAGAGAAGAGAGCATTCTGACCAGGGGAGAGATGCAGGCACAGGAACGGGTGCCTGAGGCATGTTCAAGGGCTGATGTAAATGTCCTGAAAAAGGCCTATGGTCGGTGTTCTGGGCACAAAACTGGCTCTGAGTTGAGTAAATGTTAGAAGTTAGAACTCGTGGGTATCGACCTCAGACTCTTGCTACTTCCCACTGACCCACTGTGCCCGGACTCCCCATTCCCATCCTTCATTGAAGAGTGACCAGCACTCACCACCCCAGGGAAGCCAGGCATCTCATGGGGCTCCCTGCCGAGCTCTTCATTCTTCGCATCACCTGTGATGGAGAGGTGAGCCCCTGCAGGCATTTTCATTTGACAGGCTGAGATATGAGATTGCAGCAAAGGGGGCTGGGACAGGCCACGGCACCAAATTTTCTCCTCTCCACATGCCATGCAAACATTCCTCATTTTGCCAGTGCAGCAACTTGATGAATTGGTTCTCTATTGATCTCCATGCTCATTTCTATACTATTCATCATTTGGGAGGAGAAATATCTTTCCTATCTGGGGGACTCGTTTTTTAAAGCACATATGATGGGTCCTTGTCCTGCCAGGAATCCCCTGTGGGGATCAGGACTTGCAAAAACATCTCTGCCTGCGGAGCTCAAGCTACTGGGAAGGGCTGAGGGTGGAGTGGCTGGACACCCTGGTGAGCATGCTGGTGTCCAGTCTGACGGGGTTGGCTCAGCCAAGACAAGTTCCAAGGAAATGAATGTCCCCACTCAAAATGAGATTAGCATTTCGTTGACCAAATTTGATTTTGTGATTGCTCGCAGGCTGCTTTCTTCTCACAACTCCAAGGGGAGAGTTTAATGATCACTTGCCTAAATTATGCTCAGGAATACAACACGCTATAGAGAAAGGCAGCGAACTTTCGCTGATACAAACACTGAGGAAGATCCTGAGGAGATTAGGCATTAGAGTGTTGGGCAGGCTGGATGGTCAGAGTATACTTGCCATGGGTGGTGAGGGCACTTACCCATGCTGTGACCTAGACCTGTGTGCCCAAAAGAAGCTCCAGGCAAAATACTAGGGTAGCCCCTTATTTTTTGACTGGCTTCCTATATTGTTTTTAAAGTTTTTAAAACTAGGCCACATAAATACTGATTGGCCAGTATACACAGAATAATTAGTTTTTTTAAGAGTGGAACTGAGAATGCCTGATCTCCATGCTATGTCCATTTTCTGAGACAAAGGATGGCCTTCACCAAGGTAGTCACCTTTAACACATTGACAGCTGCCTTTTTATAGATATACTAGAGGCCCAGTGCACGAAATTCATGCATGGGGGGGGTCCCCCTCAGCCCAGCCTGCACCCTCTCCAATCTGGAACCCCTCGGGGGATGTCCGACTGCCGGTTTAGGCCCGATCCCTCTGGGATTGGGCCTAAACCGGCAGTCAGACATCTCTCTCACAATCCTGGACCACTGACTCCTAACCACTCACCTGCCTGCCTGCCAGATCACCCCTAACTTCCCCCCTGCCAGCCTGATCACCCCTAACTGCCGCCCCCCCCCGCCAGCCTGGTTGCCCCCAACTGCCCCCCGAGCTGGCCTGGTTGCCCCACGCAGCCTGTTCGGTCGTCCGTTCAGTTGCAATGGTCGCTTAGGCTTTTATATAGATAGATATGTCCCCGGAGGAGGACAGGACCCCAGCTTCAGTAGGAGAGAAGGTGGCGTGATGACCGAGCCCCAGGAAATAACCAAGCCTGGGTATTATGACAGTTGTTACTGCCATCGGTATGAGGAGTGTTACCACTAATAAGAACAGTTAGCTGGCATTGCCACAGGCAGCAGCCATCTCACTATATTCATAAGCTTTGCCAAGTGGGACACATGCCTCATTCAGGCTGCATGGGCCCGTGGTCTGGACTTCGGCTTTAGAAGTTTAGAAACTAAATTAGATGTTTATTCATTTTGCTTAGACGCTCACAGTGAATTGATTCAAACTAGCCAAACTCAAAAGAGATTTGAAAGAAATAACCGGAGTGTCAGTTCACTAAATCATAACAAGATTTGTGTCCTGTGAGGTGATTGGAGATGCATGTCATCACCCTCACAATTTTCCTTGATAGGAAACATTCCGTGAGAAAGCAAATTAAAACCAGAAGTTTCCCTTAAGAACAAGGAATCAGAGCAGTGGAGTCGATGCCTCAGCAGTTTCCAGGGGGCCTGTAGTGGTCTCAGGTCACCCTTCTCACCAAAGGGCATTACTGTCCATGGATATAGCTCCTCCTTTCAGCTGATCAGTTCTCACCCCCTCCTCACCCCCGCCGGCTCCTTTCCTGCCTAAAGTCCAGCCACCACCCCACTTTTCCTTATTCTAGCTTCATCTTGTTTATTTCGGCAGGCATTATAATTCCACGTTTACTGATTCGATTTCACTGACTGCATTTCCATGTGGCTGCTTTCAGAAAGGGTTTTCAGAAAGGTGCCTGATCGCCCTCCACATTCTGTACTGAGTGGGCCCTGTGGTGGCTCACTGCCTTTCTTAGCGTCAGTCTCAGACACAAGTGCTTCTTGACCAGCTTTCAGCTTCGTTCGTGGCCTGTGATCCTCTCTCCTCTGCTTGGTTCACCTATAACCTGTTCGGAAATAGTCTAACATAAAATACTCTTTGGTTTCAAAAAGTGGGTGCAAAGCTATGCACAGTGGTGATGGAGGGAATTTTACAAGCTGTGCAATTGAGATAAAGAAAGTCTGCAGTTTA